CCCCCCCCCCCCCCCAATGTAGTGTTCACAAGATCGAGGATGACATCATCATGCTGAGGAGCCGTGTCAGGAAGTCGCAGGTGAGAGCGGCACGTCGATACGGGACGCATTCCGGTCCGATCTGCATTAATGTGTATGGATTTCCACTTAGTCGCATCTTAAATGCAGTGTGACCCCAATCGCAAAAGGTCTGACCCGCTCACTCCAGTTTGGTGGGCAGTAGGACAGACAGAAGCACACGAACCTGTAGCGGCACTAATTCCTATAAATATACATTGGCTGTTTGACCCAGCCCTGAAATGTAGGCGCTAATTAGCATCGCGCAACATGCATGATGCAACAATCGTGACTCTGTTAGTTATGCCTGCTAATGGTATTCATTTAAATATCATAGTTAATTTATATTGTGGCTTTATTAAGGAAATGTGTCTCACCACTAACACTAAGACAGACAGCCTTCTCCCCAAGGCAGCGCTAATCGCCGGCGTCTATGTGAGAAACGAATTTCAGCGAATGGAAGCGAATTTCAATGCCCCCCCCCCCCCTCCACCTTCCCGAGGGCCAGCGTTTCCCAAAACCTCCCGAGCTACCGTCATGACTGTTTGCTATCAGTCAGGCCTGTCAGTTTTAATTAGCTCCCTGCTTTTATTGATGCTGATGATTGTGTGCCCTCATGTGGCAAAATTTAATTTATTCGCTCTGAATTCTGGAATTTTGCTTTTTTTTTTTTCTTTCTCCCCTGCTCAGAGCTGAAGTGATAAAACTGGTGAGACGACCGGGTGCCTGAGCTCTCGGGGGATGTGACACCGGCCAGCTGGGGAGGGTGCTGCAACTGACGAGCCCAGCGTTAGCATTTAGCTGGGCGTCGGCTAATTGTGCTACATTTCCAGACAATCAACGTGCAAAGATTCGTGCGAGAATTATGGGAAACTTCGATATTGCTCTGCTACAACCACTGCTTAAAATATCGATTACGCCGTGATTTAATCTGTGCCCCAGTTCTGAATCAGCCTCACACACACACACACACACACGATAAAGACCCTCCAGCTATATACTGTATGTAGATATCTTCCCAGCTTCACAGGAGATGTGAATGGGACCGACAGGAGCCTCTGGAACGCGGCTCTGACATGTGATGGCCACCACGTAACAAGTAGCCTCGTCCCCAGCAGTCACGATCGACCTCGGACCAGCACGACCAGTGCCCCCTTCCCCGTGCCCCCCGCAGCCCAAATGAGACATTTATTAGCAGGAATCGAACAGCCCACATCACGGCTCACGACAGGTCCCCCCCGTCAGGTTGGCTTCCCGGCGCCGAGACGACGGGTATTAAAACACAATTTGCAACTCGTTAACAGAGCTGAGAAGGAGCTGTAAGCTTGGGGGGGGTGACTGGAGGAAAACGACTGTTTTCATGTTGCGGACTTCTCCCCCCGCCACCTCTCCATCGTCCCTCATTTCGCTAACAAGGGTTCGCTCCGACGTACAATGCAAGCATGACAAACACATACGCTTTAAACAGCCCTCTGAACGTCCATAGGCCAGGCTGCCACCTTTGGTCAGCCGGCTGGAGTGAGACCAGTCTACACACGCATGTAAATGTATGTAAGAGTTTTATTGCCTTGTAAATAGTCTCTAGGGTTTGCCATAAGATTTCTTGCATGAGCGTCAGAATCAGAAAGCATGACTTGGCAACCCTGTCCACAGGACTACCTGGCAAAGAGCTTCATTATCAGAATCAGCAAAGTCATCATTTACCTAAATGACACTAAAACCCTATTTTTAATGCTCCAAAACACATCAAGCCCGTCGATTTAACACGAAGACAAATTGCAGTTGGAATCGTGTTACGTATTAGTTATCTGTCATGTTCACCTTCATTAAGAGCATTTGACTGTATGGATGCATAATGCATGATAACATGTTACTGAGGATATTTAAATCTGTGTCTAATGGCGGTCTCTGTTGAAGTCTCACAAAGCAATGCCCTGGATCAATGTTTCCTAATCCGGTCCTTGGGGACCCACAGCTGGTCCACATTTTTGTTCCCTCCGAGCTTCCAGCCAGGCAAAAACATGGGCTGTCTGTGGATCCCCAAGGACGGGATTGGGAAACACTGCCCTGGACCCTGGGCTTGTCCAAGGCGGCATCGGGTGCAAGGCAGTGGAGTCCCGTACTGGAGGCCAGTCATTTGAATAAAATGACTGGTGAACCTGAGCATCTTTCTGGTATCTGTAGATACTAATATCCACAGTCATTCGCAGATCCTACAGCTTCCATGCCTTTTCCTGAATGGACGGTTACAGCCAGTACAGGTCAGAGGCCAAGTGGCGCCTAAAGCAAGCTTCACCATCGATACCCCTCGTCCGAGACAAAGGGAAGTCGGCTCGCTAAGTGGGCACCCCCTCAGAAGATGGTGCTTAGACGGTCACCTCTGTCACCTAATGGGTGACCGGCCTTGGTGTGACAGTCCTCGTAGTGCTCGTAGTGACCTTTTGGTTTGTTTTGGTTAGATTATGGTAATACTGGCCTGTCACTGAGTAAAGGCATGTGGGCTTCTGGTTGGTTTGGTTACTTGATCTGTATGTCTATATTGGCTTGTCTCTCTCACTGTCAGTCTTCCTGTCACCAGTCTGTTTCTCTAAGTGTCTTTCTGTCTGTCTGCCTCTCTGTCTTTGTCTCCTAAATGTCTCTCTATCTCTTGTCTGTCCCTCTATCTCCAATCTGCCTGTCCCTCTCTCTCTCTGTCAATCTGTCAGTCTTTGTCCAGTCTGTCTGTCTCTCTGTCTCTGTCTGTCTGTCTCTCTGCCTGTCTCCCTGTTCCTTTGTGGATCTGTCTGTCTCTCTGTCTGTCTGTCTCTCTCTCTGTCTGTCTGTCTATCTCTCTGTGTGTTTGTCTCATGTCTATCCCTTAATCTGCAGTCTGCCTATCCCTCTGTCTGTCAATCTGTCTTTCAGTCTTTGTTCAGTCTGTCTGTCTCTGTCTGTCTATCTATCTCTTATATGTCTGTCCCACAGTCTGTCTCTGGTATATCTGTCCCTTTGTCTATCCGTCTGTCTGAGTCTCCAGCCTCTCTCTGTCTCTATCTGTTGGTCTGTCTGTTTGTCTCTCCATGTCAGACCTTCCCGCGAGACCCAGACAGGCACAGTCCCCTCCCCAATCTGCATGGTGGCTACACCGCAGACAGACCACCTCCACCGCGTCTCCACTGCCCTCTCGGACTTAGGCGGGAGTCACCGCGGCAACCATGACTCCTGTCCCGTTGACAGTTCTTGCTTGTCTTAATCCACCACGTGAAACAGCCAGGGCCCTGGGCAGGGAAGTCTGGGCACACCCGTCTCACCGTGATGCCGACATTTCCATTCTGAGGCCTGGAGCCTCCTGTTGTACCCTTGAGAAAGGTTTTTGAATCATTTTAATAAAATATCCAGCTGTATGAATAGGTAAAATGTAAAAATAAAAATCCTTATACTCGCCTA